ACAACTAACATCAGATATTCTTTACATCTGTCAACTTTCTTAGTCGAAGTCAAAACAATAAAAAGATTTACTTATTCTATAGTAGAATATACACATGCATTTTAATATTCACGTACCAGTTACTCGCAATTTAGATTTCGATGATAAATTTTGTAACTCAAGTGCAAAGGGAACAAAGGAGGTTTGTTTTAGTTCAAAGAAAGTCTATAATAATTCTTGCAGTGATATTTCTTCTCTTTTCGACAAATCTAAGCAAACAATGTCGTGTCGTAGAATCGTGACGGCCACTCGGCAATCCGTAGTACCATCTCACGACAATGCAATTGTCAAAATCGAGAACAGTGAGTGTCCATGTGCACTAACAACTTGTAGACATCACAAATTGGGCCCATTAGCCTCCTTCCTCGCTGTGTCTATTAAATTGTAGTCGACCAATTACATTCGATTGTCTTTACTTTCTTTTTATTCAACGCATTTTGTTTTTGTTTTCCAAATTGTCGACATTTTGTAGGACGTCTGTCTGCGTGTGAAATGTTTACCAATTATCTTTCGACGTATTTAAAATAATGTTCGTAGTTATTAAATGGTGGCTTTAATTGTTTTGAAGCGTACTAAATCCTTTAAATTACACGAAGACTGTTCTCATGTTTGAGAAATTCTTAAATAACACAACCTTACGTAGGTAGTGTTGTAATTGTTATTGCATTTAATCTGTACATTTGCGAACCACAGTCCTCTTTCTAGTATAACCAATTTGCTCGTGTTCATTTTTGCATAAGATTTTAAACTATTAGGTTTATTATTTTTTATTACTACAATATTGGTATTGATGACTATTTTTTTATTTTTATCAAGCTTTTATTTTACTCCATAGCGCAACCACTCAATGCAATGACGGCATAACGAAATACCATAAAATAAAAATATGAAATGGCGCCCTAATATATAGCAATTTCATATTTGTGAAATGGCAAACGCACCCGCGCTCCAAAGCACTCGTCACCGATCTATTTTGCGAGTGTCGTGTATGAAATGGAACGATGTAAAAAACCTAAGTTTGTCCAAATGACAACTGCAAGCTAACTTCGAACTTGTCACATTCGTAATAAAGATGGTTATTAATTTGAGTGGGTGCTAAATTATCTTGGTCTTGTGGATTCCCGTTGCACCGTCAGCTTCTCCCTTGTATTGCACCCTAATCGAATTGCTATACGCTTCGTGTCTCCCGTCTTGTGGGTCCGACCCCTGTCCCGGACATCAGAGGTCTCATTGCTGAAAATGAAAGCGACAAAATCAAACAACAGCTCCTTAATTGGATTCTTCAAGTCATTGTATGATTTAATTAATTGAAAGTATTACATCAATGTTTATTTGGAAACTAACTTATAATATTTGTTATTATAACAAATTCACAGTTCGATATTGCCAGATATTAAGGTCATTGACCGACTTCCCAAAAAAGGAGGTAACTACTCAATTCGTCTGCATGTTTTTTTTATGTAAGTGTCAATAATTAGAGATGTAAATTTGTGCCAAATTTCTAAAACTACTCTATTTCTTAAAAAAAAAAAAGAGGCAACGTTATGTTTTATAACTAAATATACATAAGTTTCTTCTACGTGTTTTAAATACAAAATCTTTGCCTTTGTTTGTTATAAAAGAGAAATTAAGCGAAGATCGCGTGGCCCGGTCCTGACATGGGGTGCTGTGCTTTCGTCATGCTTCGCTGAAACAAATTGTCTAGACGTGGGGAGACTAGGATGTGTATGTTATCCCAGCAATATCACTTTGCATTTACATTAAATAAAAGTATAAAACATTCGAGTATTTAAATTTGTGAGTGATTCAGATTGTATGGTAACTTACTGGCGAATTTTGTCACTAAAACCTATAAATATGAAAACAAAATTTTATGCCTGGTTTTGTGACATGCATTTAAGGTCTTATTACTATAGACAATTTTATCTAGATATTTTTGTCAATTTAAAAAATAGTTCAACGTTTACGATTTTTGAAGATTTCATGACGAACTAATATAAATTTTTGGCGGTATTTCTGATGAAATGCACAAATCTCGCATATCATGACAAATGCAGTATCCTGAATAAGTTTAGGGCTTTGTAAATTCATCTTAACTTTACATTAAAATTTAAACATTTTCTCTTCCGTATCCTTTAGCCCTAAATAATAACCATTTCCGTCTTTTGTTTTCACCAAAATATGTCTATTATTCTAATCAGAATTGGATAAAAGCTAAAAAATCTTACTGGAAGTTATTTAAAATGTCAACGAAAGCCATAGTAATAAAAATCACCTTAAGCTCATTTTGTGGTAATTTATTACGTATATTTTAATTCTTTGGAGGCTTATAGACTCGAATTCTGTTTCCCTGTTGCTATTCAATATGCTATAAATACTGATTAGTGTCTCCTAGTGGCTGTGAAGGAAAAAACCTTTTTTTTATGTTTTTAACTTTAACTTCTTACTTGTGTCATAACGTCAACGGATTATTAAATTAAAAGTATTAGCGACTTTCACTAGAAATATAAATGTAACTTTCTCTTTATTAAAAAGCCTTATTTTCCATTTACCGTTTACATAATTGTATTTAAAAATTACTAGCTTTCGCCCGCGACTCCGTCGGCGTGGAATTAAAAAAAAAAAAAAAGCGAATAGCCTATGTGTTCTTCCAGACTATCCTATGCATCTACACCAAATTTCATCGAAATCCCTCCAGACGTTTAGGCTACAAACTTTCAAACATCCATCCATCCATCCATCTAAACTTTCGCAATTATGATATTAGTATGACAACCAATTAAACGAAAAAAAACTGTACGTTACTGATATTTAGATCTAAAAATATGTTAGCATCGTTCGTTATTTCTCTTAAATATTTGTAAATCAATATAGTTAGAATTGGTCTCAATCTTCTGTGTAAAACCTAGAGCGGAGAAAGCCTTTTCCACCCTTCTCGAGGTTATTCCATGTACTCGTATTCCCATATCAGTCTGGTCTAGTACTGTCTAGCAATCTTTATTATGTCGTACTCCATCTTAAATGTGGTTTTGTTTTGTTTGTTTCTTTCTTTTGTTGTTAATAGGACACTAATTGTATATTGCTTTTTCCTTTCTCATCGCTAACTCTTTGAATATGTCCTGCCCATTTCCATTTACGTCGTAGCAGTTGTTACCACATGTACAATTAGTTTTAAGAAATAAAAAAAAAAACAAAGCCGTTTTCCTTGTCTGGTAAATACTTAACAAGGCACAATGTCTAAGTGATATTTTCCAACGACACCTCGACGTAAGAAATGAGCGGACAATTGTAATTTTCCACGTCACAGCTCGTCGCAAGGAGAATAACGTTCAGTTTTTCTGTCTGACGAGGGATCTAAGCGGTGGGTTTTATTTTTTATGACGTCATTAACTGGAGGAAGCGAAGGCAAACAGTTCCTGCGGCCGGCCTCTATTATAAACTGTTGATTACTAAGATTACAACTTGGTGGCTTTTACTCGTGTTCCGGAGTACGTTTTACTTCTTGTTAATCCCCAGGGAGTAGCTGTGCTTGACTCCTAAAAGGATTTTTACTGCCTACGTTGTACGGCTACTAAATAAATGTTTTATGTGTGAATATCGTTCATGTAACTCATTAACGAAGATAATAAAATCTTTGTTCTGAGTTTTTATTTGTCTATTATATTTTTATTTGTCTAAATCAGAAACCTCTATGAGTATTGAAATTTGTTTGAACGATATACTACAAGAATTTCTAAATTACTGTAACAAGATAAAAATATGCTTGGAAATTTTTAATGTATTTAAAATTATCTTATAAGAACTCACAGTATTTCTGATTCTAATATGATTAAGTAGAAATTCTTTTCTAACTTGTATAAAAACAAATACAAATACACATTATTATCTTGTCATCTTTTATTACATTCTTCGTTGTTGACTTTTTACGACACTTCACATCTTTTAGATGATTTTTATAGTGCTTTAATTCTAAAGAATTAAGCAGTGAGATGCAATATGGTTGCACCTCGGGGGGCGCCATTCACCTGACACCATCTGCTACCGTTCAGATCAGTGGGGACCCACCCGATCTCAGCCTATCAGATTTCATACGCGATAGACTGAACACGTTCACTCGAGAGACTTGACATGTTTCTCGTGTTATAAGGTAAAATATTATTATTGTTCTAAACGCCTTCGGGATAGGAGATTTATTTTTAATGTTACAGTTACTAAGGTTGTATGTATATCGAGGATATGCTTAAGAAGGGAGTAGATTCAGATGTGAGGGCTGATAGAGATGTATGGAAGAGCATAATTGGTGCCGACCCTCCGTAGGGACAAGGGAAAGTTGATGATGGCTAAGGTATATATTTTATTTGTAGATTTAGTGTAGATTTAACATGAATAAATGACTCTTAAGGGCTGTTAAATTAAGAAGCTGCTCTGAGTAGAGCAGTAAGGAACGGTCAATGTATTCATTTTAGTTCATTGCATCTGTTAAATTTATTGTTACTACCAAAAGATGTTTATTTCTTTTTAATTAATAGTATCAAAATTATGCTCCATTACTCATTCACTTTAATAGGTGTCTATTTTAATGGATAAATAACGGAGGATACTGCGGTAGGCGTCCAAGCAAAAACAAATTGTAGTCACCCGTTAACAGCAATTTGAAATCATTTACAAAAAAATCTTACGGAGCTGATTCCAGAACTCATTTGCGGTTTGAGTTTTTGATCACTGCAGTTTTACTACGCATATTGGCTAAGGTGACCATATTGTTTTATTAAATGAGACAACGTTTCTTGTGAAATTAAAAGTTTGTATCTCTTTAATTATTGTATTATGGTTCAAAAGCTTAATGCAACATCATAATATGATATTCGAGCAAAATATGTTATTTTCAAACTAGTTTAAATTAATAACCGTCAAGTACGTGTAGTATGCGTAACTGTTGAATGAAGTATTGTATATAACAGGACCAGTCTCTTCATTGTTTCGACGTGTGGTGAGCCCAAAGATGCGCGCCCGAGCGGGTAATTCTGCGGTGGGTGCGAGCGTCGCGGGCCGCGGTTTGCAGCCACGCGCTGCGGCCCTTGCCTTTGACGCTTCTGAATGAGCTTTGTACACAGTCCTGGTATAAAGTGGCTAAGTTAACTTGTAATTGCTCTGTTTTCTTAACAAATATTTTCTAACTCAAGATATTTTAATTACTGTAGACTAATATTGTTGTAAACATTAAAATACTTTATTTATAATTTCATTGTCTTTAATATTTTCCAGGTTATTTTAAACACGCATTTTATTCTGATGTGTCAGTTGCTTTTCCTACATTTTACATACTTATATTGTATTACAGCAAATATCTAATCTTACTAATATTATAAATGCGAAAGTTTAGATGGATGGATGTTTGTAAGCGTTTGTAGCCTAAACGTCTGAACGGATCTCCATGAAATTTGGCACAGGTTTAGAGCATAGTCTGGAAGAACACATAGGCTACTTTTTATCCCGGGATAAGTTACGGTTCCGGTGGGATTCATTAATTTAGTTTTTTAATGTTTACTCGATCATTCTGCAACGGTTCAACATATCTTATTGAAATTTGGCACAGATGTAAAACAAAGTCTGGAGTATACATGGGATAAGCTTCATCCCCGAGGTGTCCGGTTCCCGAGGGATACGTAGCTTTTTGTTATTTATATAGTTTGTATGTTGTCTAATACCACGCGGACGAAGTCGCGGGCAACAGCTCGTTTGCTATAAATCAAACTCCTTATAAATCGACAACATATATTTTCAAGAACGTTTGTTTAATGTTTCAAGAATTGTTTGTTTAATGAATATCTAGATATCCCAATAAAAGTGTTACAAATAGTACGAATTACATTCAAAAACAAAATAATTTAAACTTAACTCTAATTAACGTAAGGTATCGTAATTATGATCTTGAAGTATATTGTAGACGTAATTTTAAATCCGTTTACTTGATATTTGGAACTATTCGTATACTGCGTTACAAAGAACTTACCCAATAAAACAATAACAGAAACAAATAAGTGTTAAACACGGAACGAACAGATACCTAGAACTATAAAAATATTATTCACTAAAAGAACAACTTAATCAAGAGCATTTAATTGTTAAAGATTTGAATACGCCTTGATTTTAGTATCCATTTTTCTGATTCGCCACGGAGCCGTCCAAGTCTGTGGTTCAATTGCTTGCCCTGTGCTTCTATTGAACGAAATCCGTGAGATACCGCATTGAAATTTTATAGATGGTTTTATTACTTATAAATGAGACTATTAGATTTATTGCCGTCATGATTATTTTATATATCGGTTCCGTATAGAACTACTTTTATGTTCCTCATCTCTATATCGGACTATATCAATCTTTATTAATTAAGCTGTAAAATGGGAATGAAAAGAAACGAAAATGTGTATAATTTATGTATTTAAAAACATATAATCGTAACAATTAAAAAACATTTTTACTTCTACAAATTATTTACTTATAACTAAAGTAAAATTCAACGTTTTAGTTTATGTAATATTTTACTGTTGATGAATTTTAATTAGTCTTGATTTTTCAGCGCATCACAGCTGCGACTCTCCACCTGGAATGTGAAAGAAATGCATGTTAGGAGTCAAAATAATACAAAACATACAATTAAAACAAAATTTAAATGAATTTCCTGTTAACAAATATAGAAAATGACGTGTTTAAAAGTAAAAAATAATGTTTTTATGTCTTCATTAGCTTCGAAATGTGTCAAGGTTCTCTTAATAACAGTTTTCGGTACATTAAAAAAATTGTAACAGTATCTTAAATCAATTGTTTTAAAACTAAATGGACAGTTGAAGATCGGATAGTGACGTACGTATGTTTAAGAAAAACATATCGAGAGCTGCCAAAATATCGCATGTAATCCCTGTTTATACAATATCGGCGCCTAAGACCAATGTAAATAAATAGAATTGAGAAAATCCAACGTGCGATGTGTTTTGCTAAACGTTTCCAATCGTGCCAAGGCTATACAACAATAGTTATTGTTAAAATAATAGCTGGAAATACTGAAGGCCAGAACATCTAAAGTTGTAAAAAGATAAAATTGTAAAACATTATTCTTCATCAAAACAGCGTTATTTATTTCAAGTAAATCAAAATATTTCTCAGTCTATCATGAATCATAGGTTCAAAAGATCAAAAACGTATGAACATAACAAAAATTATCTGATAATATTTTTTTATCGTCATCACTCGATATTAGATAGGTTGCTAGTTGCATATTTCATGCAGTACGAACAAAGATGATTGTGAATCTTACTAATATTATAAATGCTTAGTTTTTAGTTTAGATGGATGAATGGATGGATAGATAGATGGATGGATAGATGATGGATGGATGGATAGCTTTTTGTAATTTATATAGTTTGTTTGTTTTCTAATACCACGCAGACGAAGTCGCGGGCGACAGCTCGAATAACATAAAAGAAATCTGCGATTCTATTTGATCATCATTGAAGAGGTATCTATCAGTATAAACGTAGAGGAGTCAAATCAATTGACCCGCGAGATTCCTGACCACAAGTGTGCGAAGTTTATTGGTCGTAATGAAGACGATATACGATCCGCTCCCGATTTCGAATGATTGCATCATGGCCCAACTAAAGTCACATTAATTAATGACATCACTACTTTTTTAATTTCCAAGAAGCTTAAAACACAATAGGAGTTAATATCAAACAGTAAATAAAAAAATTGTGATTCCAAAGTAAGATTTAAATAATCAATTAAATTTTGTTTTTGTTACAACCACAGGAATAACGTATGGCCAGTTTCCCAGATACTTTTAACAATTCATTGGTATTTTTGTTTCGATAAATTGCTGAAATGCATTTCCGAACTACGTTACTTGAGTTTTACAACTTTGAAATTTAGTTTAACCTCATTATCACTAGCTCACTATACGTCCCCACCGAAGGGCTCGGAGCCAACCCTAAAGTTAGGGTGACTAGGCCATAGTCAAGCACGCTGGCCAAGTGCGGGTTGGTTGACTTGACACATATCTTTGAATTTCTTCGCCGACATGTACAGGTTGCATCACGATGTTTTCCTTCACTGTAAGAACGTCGGGTAAATTATGTACATATGAAAATTCGAAAAATCGAAAATGACATTGGTACATGGCGGGATTCGTACCCAAGACCTGCAGAAAACAATTCAAGTGCTTAAACCACTGAGCCACCGACACTCTAGTTTAACCTTACAATAATGAATTACTAGGTAATGATAAAATAAATGGAATCTTCAGAAACCCAGCAATAATCTGACTAGTTGTTGTGTTTTATAAACTAGCCTTTGATAGTTACTTAACTGTACTTAACATAAGCACATAACACATGTAATATTAATCGAATTCCTGTAATTTTAGTCATCGTATTTATAAAAACCTCTTAAATGTATAAATAGATGTGACATCGACAAAGTTCCACCTTCAGCGACAAAAAAAATGTTTTAATTAAGCTCTTCTAAACATGTCATCAAGTGACCTGTCAAAAAAGTAAAAGTGTCATTAATATTGGAGACAGGACTAATTATTTGAAGCTGTCGTACCGTACCACCGACATGTAACCTCGAGATATATTTTACACTTAATCACTATTTTCTCTTTATCTATAGTAATATTACAAGAGGAAAGATCTGTATTTTTGTATTGGAATAACTCAAACAACTGGGCATATTTCAATTTTTATGTCACCATTAAAAAGCTAGGTTATCAGTGAATAACATAGACAATATTTTTTAATTTCAGGGGGCGAATGCGAGCAACAACCATCCTTAGGTACATTTTCAAACAGTTAGAATGTTATTAGTTGTTTTTTTGGGTTATAAATTACAGCTTCAGTGCGAAAATGAATTAAAATCGGTGTCTCATTTTCATTGCTAACGTGAGAAATATGTTATAAGGACTAATCGTGTTTTAAATTTGTTTTTTTTTTTTTTTAATAATTGGATACATTAGATGTAAACAAATTACGTAGTCAACTAACTAACTAGATTTCTTAGATATATTCAAATATATCTAACAAATCTGTACAAAATCTCAAGTGGTGACTCAAGTGATATTAAATTTATCGCAGATTGTACAAAGTGAAATAGTGCTTGTATGCTGTCAAGAGACATATATCCCATTTCCTCTGCAACCGAGCTAACTTATCACGCTCTAAATAAATACAAATAGAGCTAACGAAGTGTTGATGGAAAGTTTAAAGCGTTATACTAAGTCTTGTATAGAATTACTAATCAGTCGGACAAAATGTGTCATTTGTCAATTTTGTATACAACTGTTATGATTAAGGTGGAAGTTGGCAATGTCCTAGCACGCTTTGCACGCTTACATTTTTTTATCTATTTATTTAGTTAATAAGTACATACAAATTCTAGATATAAATGATTTCGCCAAACTGCCAAAAACAGTTATTGACGAAAGATCTCTCTGGTACACTATACTTGACTAAATACAATATGCTAAATTATTTCTTGTAAAACAAAAACAACCAATGAAAAAATCAAACTTAAAAATTGAATGTTGGATGTCTATTCGGCTGCATAGGTTCAGCAGTTAGTGTTAATCTCGTTTCTGCTATTTTTAATATGTCACTATTGAAAATGGTAAATTCGCCTAAGACCAATCACGCGACAAAACATTTTCAATTTAACATTTAGTTTCCAGTGCCAACTTCATTTTTCTGTTCATTATTTGTCTCCTTCTAAAGTCGGCAGAGGTAACAAATACACGACTATTTTTATCATATTGTGCTAAATGATTGGTGTATGAATTATATTGCAGAATTTTGCTGGTCACATTTACGAAACTTGTAATCTCAAACAGTTACGCTTTATTTGAAAGCCGATCCCAGCGCGACAACAGAATTGAATTATATTTATATCCCGCGGACCTCGTAAACCCTTTACGCGAAATAATGTACTCAAATATCCTTTTGTTCCATGCAAATAGCAATCCAAATGTAAATATTGGGCCTTTGAATGTAAAGTAACGGACGAGGCAACTCGCGGCCGCAGCGTGTACTAATTAAATTCTGTCGCTATTCGTGTATGAGGTAAAGCCGATAATCGCACAAGTGCATCATGCTGATAAGTCTTTATGAATGTATATTGTTTTAAAAATGTACACAAAA